TTGGTTTGTTGAATGTGATTTTTTTTTTAAAGGATATAGCCATCCAAGGACCACAAGGCTGCAGCCACAAAGCCCACAATCTGTCAACCAAAAGACTCCATAGTGAGAAACGTTGTGTCATAATGTTTGGGTCATTCACAATGAGTATTCACAAGGAATGGAATAGGTTTAAAAAAGTATGAAAGATTTAAGGCCTGCATAGTGCTTAAAAAGATAAAGAGAGACAGAGTTCCAGGAATGGAGGATGTGTTCTCACCCCTCCGCTCAGTGTGCCCTTCACTGTGTATGTGGAAACTGCTACAGGCTAAGAATACACATCAGTGCAGCTGCAAAGAATGAGTTGAACACATCCTGTGAGAGCAAAAGGGCATTACCAACAGTTGTGTTTGCAAAGCTGCAGTTGCTGGTATTGGTGGTGTTATACAAAGTTCTCTGAGCAATAGTGCATTAATTCAGTCAAGCACATTAGATTTATGGTCTTACAATAAGGGGCCAGAAGAAGAAAGTTAACATCTTGTTGAGTTTCAGTAGGTAGAGTAAAAAAAAACTCAATGCATGTTGCTGCAATATAGGCTGGCCTAGATGCCACTGCATAACACACAAAAGCCACAAAAACACACACCTGAATTTTTTTTTTAAAAATTAAGTTTTTTGAAGGAATTTTAGTAAGATGACCAGATGTTACTTGACTGAACTGTGTGATGTGATTTTTAACAATGTTGTATTCCAAATATCAAGCCCATGCCAGCACTATTTAAATAAGTAAGTGATTGCCAGTGATTGAGCATTTTTTCCTTCCCAAAAAGTATCAAAAATAACAATACTATCATGTTTAATTTGTATAAAAGTCTCACCATTTCTGATATTTTCAGTAGGCCTTTTGTAGACTTCAACAAGGCCAGATCAACTTCCATTGTGGCATTAATATGATCTTTGTATAAAATTAAACACAATATGATGTTTTATGTCGATGAGTTGTTCTCATAACACAGCTTGTGGATCTCGACACATTACTTCCTGAGTGAGTGTATCCTTTTAGTCTCAGGAAATGACTAAATGCACTTTTTTTGTTGGCAGTTGAACTCAACAGTTTTAGGCAG